GTATGTATGTATGTATGTATGTATGTATGTATGTATGTATGTATGTATGTGTGTGTATGTATGTATGTATGTATGTATGTATGCAGGTGTGTATGTATGTAGGTAGGTAGGTAGGTAGGTATGGATGTATGCATGCATGCATGTAGGTATGTATGTAATGTATGTATGTATGTATGTATGTATGTATGTATGTATGCATGCATGCATGCATGCATGCATGCATGCATGCATGCATGCATGCATGCATGCATGCATGCATGCATGCATGCATGTATGTATGTATGTATGTATGTATGTAGTTTCCTACCTAGGCTCTGCCTAGAAGGGTTTTAACTCTCTGGGCTTCAAAGGGGCCGGGCAGTGGAAAGCGCCCCGGGTGGTTCCCCCAGTATCCGCCCCGCGGTTCCCCCAGTTACGTCCCCTTAGCTTAGCGTCGGTTATCTCATCTTACCTTAGCTTGTTTCATCTTAGCTTAGCTTAGCTTCATCTTAGCTCAGGTTTATCTTAGTTTAGCTTACCTTCATCTTAGCTGCGCTGAACTTTAGCATAACATAGCATAGCACAGCGCAGCATGGCATAGCATAGCTTAGCATAGCATAGCATATCATAGCATGGCGCAGCATAGCATAGCATAGCACAGCATAGCGCAGCATAGCATGGCATAGCATGGCATAGCATAGCATAGCAACTAATGCTGCTTTCCTAGGGGCTCCAACTTCTAGGTAGGGTCACACTGGGGTAATTGTTTAGGTATGCCGTTCCACGTGGCAGTAAACTCGCCAGCCAAGCGCAACAAACGATCATCAGGCGAGCCCCATGGGCCCTATGAGGCCTACGACCCCTATGATGCCCCGCCTCACGAGCCCCATGAGCCACACGAGCCCTATGAGCCCGATGGGCCTTGCAAGCCCTATGACCCACATGGGCCCTGCGAGCCTAATTGGGCCTAGGGACACCATGATCGCTATGAACCTCTGAGCTCAACGTCGCCAGTGAGCCTATGAGACGTATAAGCCGTATGAGCCGTATGAGCCCTACGAGCTTGTGACCTTCAAGAGCCCTATGAGTCCTCTGAGTCCTGTGGGCTATATGGCACCTCTGAGCCCTATGAGACCAGTGAGCTGAGCTTGAGGGAGGCTGGTTCTGCCGCGCGGGGGGTCGCGGCCTTCGAGGTCGTCTTTCTGCCCAGCGGGTCCTATGGGCCCTATGTCGCATATGGGCCTCATACGGCCTACGAGCCCTATGAGCCCCATCAGCCTCATGGGCCCTACGGCCCGTGCGACCCCTGAAAGCCTAAAGAGCCCCATGGGCTCTATGACCCCCGTCGGCCCTATGAGCCTTATAACCCCGACGACCCGTTCTGAACCTTATGAGCCTACTGGGCCCAATTAGCAGAATGACCCTTACAAGTCCCATGAGCCTCACAAGCACAAGCCCTTTGAGACGACCCGCTCCATGGGGCCCCAGAGCCAGTGGCTTCTGTGATGCCAAGGAGCCTACGAGCCTCCACGCCCAGTGAGCTCATCAGCCTGAGAAACGCTCTGAACTTAAGTGCGGCTGCGGGCTCTCGGAACCCCATGATCCCCAGGAGCCGCGCTGCCCGACGTACCCCTCTTCCACATTCGCGCTCCAAGCTTTTGGGCCCCAGTGGTGGCGGAAAGCCCTTCGGACCTCTGACCCAGAGGAGCCCATGAGTCCTGCGGTGGGGGCTTTCATTAAGGAACGTGCCCAGGAAGCTTCAGACCCTGGAGGGTTCCTTATCTGATGAGGGCGGCGGTGGTATCCATGGCCAATCCACCATTGGAGTTCCACTGGCTTCCAGACCCCGGATTCCTTCTACAAGGTTTTCTTATCCAGTGCCCCCACCGTATGAGCGCTGGTGTGCCCCATGGGCCCCACTGCCGAACACACACACCGCGGCGCTGGCGACTGCCAGTCACGGCGACGGCGCGCCTCGCTGGCGCCATGCGGCCAAGATTTTAAAGGCAAAGCGAAGCGAGCCGGTAACATCTTGTGCATGTGTGCATATCTATATATATATATATATATATATATATATATGTATACTCCAGATGCCTTATTAGTCTTCCCCCAGGGTCCGGTTTTTTAAGGCGCCTTTCTTGAAATTGGGGGGGTCCGGTTTATTAGGGCGCTTTTTTTGGATTGGAGCTGAGGGGGTCCAGTTTATTAAGGTGCCCCTTCGAAGAGGCGGGTCCGTAATATCGGGTCGCATTTGGAGAGGGGCCCGGTTTTTTAGGGGGGTCGATTAATACGGGATTTGGAGTATCTAGCTACTAACTCAGGGTCCCGAGTGGGCCCTCTTCGGGGTCTCTTGAGACTGTTTTCAGGTCGTCTCGGGGGCCTCCTGGGCCGTCTTGGGGCCCTCTCGGGCCGTTTTGCTTCCTCTCGGCAGTCTTGGTAGCCTCTTGGTGCTGTTCTGGGGCGGTCTGGGGGCCCTGTTGGGCTGTCTTGGGGCCCTCTTGGGCCGTCTGGAGCCCTT